AAGCGGAAAATAAGATGCGTCGATCCAACCTACTCTTTTTCGGTTTGGAAGACAATGCTAATGAGGATTGGGCAGCTTCTGAACAGAAAATTATTAGGTTTTGTTCTGAAAAGTTGCAGCTTACACTCACTGGTACTCAGTTTGGAAGGGTTCATAGATTGGGTAAACATGATAAAGAAAAGTGTCGACCAATAATTGCCAAACTTAAGTTTTTTAAAAATAAGAACCAAATCTTATGGCGTGCCCGAAATCTGAAGGGCACTACGTTTTCCATACGCGAAGATTTTTCATTGGCAATGCGACAGACCCGCAGAAAGCTAATAGAATTTGCCAGAACTCAAAATAAGCCATTTATGCTTGTAGTGGACAAGCTGCGCATCGAAAACGTTACTTACGTCTATGACACCGTCTCTAAATCAGTTATACGCTCAAGCAGATAGCTAGAAGGAAACGTACATACGTTTAGGAAGCCGGAGCAGCATAAGCTTTGCACTCCTCTATTACTAACAGTATCATTCACTAATATTCGAATCATCTTATCCAAACGTGAAATAGTCTCATCTTATATCGATGATAGCCTTTCTAATATTCTTGTCTTCACTGAGACATGGCTCCACGCTGACATCAATGGCAATGAGATTTTTACGCTTGCTAACAGATACAACGTCTATCGAAGCGATCGTCCAGACAGAAGGGGTGGTGGTGTTCTTATAGGTGTTAAGAAAACCATAACGTCGTATGTCGTCACTTCCCATTATAAGATTGAAATTATATGGGTAGTTTGCACAATTCATTCCACAAGGATGTTGCTCGGCAGCTGTTATCGTCCTCCCGATTGTCATCATTCTTTCTTAGAAGAGTTGCGCAGCAGCATTAATTCTGCCATCGAAATCTGTGAGGCTCGCATTGTTTATTTATTCGGTGGCTTTAATCTACCATTTATTGACTGGGAGCAGCTGTCTTCTTCTTGTAAGTTCTCAACTGACTTCATTCACTTAACTTTAGACTTTGATTTGGCTCAGATTGTCACTCACTCAACTCGCGGTTCAAATACACTTGACCTCGTTCTTACAACTGCACCTGAAACTATAGACCGCATAAACTATTTGAATGGCTTTAGTGACCACAAACTGCTGCAAGTTGATCTTTCTATCTTGCCACATTTTGCAGGAACCGAATCAAGGAAAATTAGAGATTATAATAAAGCTGATTACGAAGCCATTAACAGGAAACTTGAGTCTTTCCTTGACAATGTGCTACTGCCTTGCTTTTACAGTCGCTCAGTTGGAGGAAAACTGGGTTCTTTTCAAGAATGCGATTTCAGCCCTAATAGATAAACACGCGCCGTTGATAACGATTACGAATGATAAAACTAATCCATGGTTCACCAAGTCTTTGTGCAGACTTAGAAACAAAAAGAAGTGGCTTTATCGGTCTGCAAAAAATTCGCGTTCACACACGTCTTGAGATAGATACGAGGAATGCCTAAAAAATATTGCCACGATATAACAACTGCGAAAAATAAATACTATTCCCAGGATTTGCCTTCACTCCTAAAATCTCATCCGAAAAAATTCTGGAAATTAATGAGTCTTGATCGGGACGATAACTTCGTTTCATTACACGATGGAAATAACACTCCTTTTGCCGACACTGATTGTCCTCATGTCTTTAATACACTCTTTTCATCCGTGTTTACTAGCGAGCAAGCTCATCTTCCAGAAATCGTTTAACGCAATTACTCATTCATGTCACCTATAGATACCACAATTGAAGGCATAGTTAAAATTATTGAAAATCTGAAGATGTCATCATCTTCTGGTATTGACGATATAAATTCAAAAATAATAAAGAACACTGTTTATTTGCCTGGCACTATCCTGTTTCACATTTTTCAGCAGTCGCTCACTACAGGAATGTTGCCTTCTGACTGGAAGATAGCGAAGGTAGTGCCAGTTCATAAAGTTGGTAGTAAAAGTTCAAGTGGAAATTATCGCCCCATTTCCTTGACGTGCATATGTTGCAAGATGCTTGAGCATATCATAGCTTCTAACATTTATGTGCATCTAGAATCTAACGATTTCTTTTTCTCAAACCAGAACGGGTTCCGAAAGGGTAGTTCTTGCGAGACTCAACTCTTTGAGTTCACCACCTACCTACATTCTAACATGAACAGTAATCTACAGACAGATTGTTTATTTCTTCATTTTGCGAAGGCTTTCGGTCGTGTTGCTGATTGTCGCTTCATATTAAAACTGTCATCCCTAAAGCTTTATTCACTCACGCTAACATGGCTCAGAAACTTCCTAACTAACCGCCAACAATTCACTATCGCCAACAATCACTCTTCATCACTCTGTTACGTTTCCTCTGGTGTACCACAGGGCAGTGTTCTTGGTCCCTTACTTTTCCTCATCTACATTAACGACCTGCCTGACAACTTATCCTCATGTATGCGTATATTTGCCGATGACAGCACTATCTATAGTCCCATCCACAACAATAGCGATCATCTAACTCTTCAGAAAGACCTCGAGCATATAATTGAGTGGTGCAAAACATGGCAGATGACACTTAATGTTTCCAAATGCAAACTAATCACCTTTAGTCGCAAACGTGATAACTGTAATAGCCAATACATAATTGATAATAGCATTGTAGAAGGCACTAATCATTACGAATACCTAGGCATAAACTTAACTTCTACACTTTCGTGGTCCACACGTATCACTTCTATCTGTGACAACACATCAAAATCATTAGGTTTTCTGTGCCGAAATCTATACAGTGCTCCCTCCGATGTGCGCAAACTGGCTTATCTTGCTCTAATCCGTCCTCAACTGGAGTTCGCATCCTCCATTTGGTCACCATATAGACAATACTTCATAGATAAGTTAGAATGTATACAGAACAGAGCTAGTCGATTCATAGTGCGTAATCACAACTACACGTCCAGCGTAACACAGATTAAACATAGCCTTGCACTCGAGCCACTGAAAATTCGCCACGAAATCTCACTTTTTATCACTATTTCACAAACTCATCCACATCACCATGATGCCATCTGTTCATTTTAATCTAGCACATCGAACTTAGAGCAGACTACATAACACCTTTAGCTTATCACGCATGTACGGCAAAATTAACACTTTCAACCAGTCGTCTCTTGCACGAGCTATTCGTTTGTGGAATGATTTGCCAGATGATCTTGCGTCTGAACATGACCACACAAAGTACTATCATACTCATAAAAAATACTTATGTACCAAAAACTGCTCTATCGCATCTTCGTAATCATCAGTGTTTATAGGACTGTTGCCGATGTTTTTGCACTATTGCTAGGTTGTAGTTACTGTCATAATAGTTTTTTTTATTTCACCTTCACATACTGTAACTCACTTTTCTAGTATGTATTTGCTTGCGTGTTCATAAGTTGAACTGCATTTTCTATTATATTCATTATTTGCCTATGTATGTGTATATTTTATACATATATATTTTTCTAACATATTATCTGTACCACCCCCCTTACACAATGCCCCTCGAGGGCTCTGTAAGGTGCTGTAAATAAACGAATATATATATATATATATATATATATATATATATATATATATATATATATATATATATATATATATATATATATATATATATATATATATATATATATATATATATATATATACGGTAGAAAAAGAGGTCGACAAACGTGCGAAAACACAAGTTTTACTAACGTTTCGGCAGCTGGGCCTGCCTTCGTAGGAGTGGATCCGACGAAGGCATGCCCACCTGCCGGAACGTTAGTAAAACTTGTGTTTTCGCACGTTTGTTGACCTCTTTTTCTACGACATTTCCACTGGATCCATTAAATTTCACCCCTTCATATATATGTATATATATATATATATATATATATATATACGGATCGATAGATAGATAGATAGATAGATGTCAAAAAATCTTGCAGCACGCAAAGAAACGCTTCACATTTAGAAATAATATAGGTTTCAATACAAAGCCCTGTGGCTCCTGAATGGACATTTACGTGGCACTATTATTTGCCCTTATAAACACACTGGCGGCGCACCGATAAGAAATTTCAAATCCATTTGATAACATCACTATGTATGCCTATTTTCTTAAGATTGTAGATATTAAGTCTGGGAGAAGATAAACCGCGGCATAGCCATTCATAGAAAAACAGGGGAGGGAAATGAAATGAGGGCAATGGAGAACTGAGGATACAAAACCGACACACTTTCTTTACTAGCTTTTCGATTACTAATATTTGCACGAATTCTTACACATGACATCAAGACACAGTCAAATAATACAAACACTAAGACAACACTGCGGCTTCAGTCGCCATCTTTCGTGACACTGTGGAGACTCATCCCTGTAACTGCAATTTCACTGCCAGTCATTGCTGCGCAAGGGCCCACGCATACATGAAAGTCTCCGCGACAAAACGACTAGGGGTCTACATCACCGAGTTCCTGACTTCGATAAAGCGCACACTCACTCACGTTTCGGCCCACCAGCGCAACATCCCTTTAGCATCACCATGGCTTCACCGGGATTTTGTTGCGTGGTCTATCACAAGCACTTCAACAGCCCCATCCTTTACTCGGCACACCTGCAGAGCGACAAGCACAAGAACTTGAAGGCACTTGCCCTTATCACGAATTTCGTTACAGGCGACGGCGTCTCCGAGGAAGTGCCGAAGTCTTAACCCTTTGCGGTTCATTGTCGGGCGCCGCCCGACAACACAACACGGCCGCAGCGGTCCGCTGTCGGGCACTGCCCGACACGCTTTCTCCTGATTGAATTGCGCGCGCATTTTTTTTTTATTGTGCATGTTGCGCTACCTCTTATAAAATGCAAGAACTGCCTTGATTTCAGCTTTGTTTTTTTCACCAGATGGCGCAGTTTACGCGGTTGAACTCTTCGATTGTTCGAGTGGCGCTCAGCTCAGAATCAGTGCCGCTTGCAGCGGAATGGCCGCCTTTTCACCGAGTGCCTTCTACGGCGGTAATTCTGAAGCTTGTAGCGAAAGCGAAGACGGTTTTAGTGACGAAGACAACTATGTGGCTCCTTCAGATACTGAAGAAAGTGATCCTACAGAAGCCAGCCAGGAAGAAAACGAGGACGGTAGAGACGGTGGAAACAACCAGAACAACACAGGACCACGTGTAACCGACTGGACAGCCTACTTGGATAATTTACCAGATTTAGACCCTCTTCCCTTCACTGTCGCGAACCCGGGATCTCAAGTAAGCTCTTTCAATGTAAAGTGCGAGATGGACTACTTTCAGTTGTTCTTCACCGACCAGCTGATTGAGCAAATAGTGCGCGAAACAAACCGCTACGCCCGTGATAAAATCTCGAGTGCCGGTGTTCTTCAGCAGTACTTGATTTGGAATGACTGGGAAGATGTGCGCGTGCAAGAATTCAAAGCATTCCTAGGGGTTATAGTGAACATAACCTTGAACCCCAAATCGGAGCAGAAGGAATACTTTAGCAACGACCTCCTCAAGAAGATGCCTTTTTTCCCACACGTTTTCAAACGAAAAAGGTTTCTTCTAATATTTTGGATGCTGCACGTTGCACCAAGCCCGCATACCTCTTCAGGTCCACCAACTCGTGGAAGCAAGATCAGGGATGTTGTGACCTACATAGATGCTAAATGCAGAGAGCATTGCAACGCCGGCCCCAAAATTTGCGTATATGAAAGTACTGTCGGCTTGAAAGGCCGAGCTTCATTCAAGTGCTACAATCCCCAGAAGCCAACAAAATGGGGCATGCGCGTTTATGCGCTGGCTGACTGCCAAACAGGCTACATTTCGGCCTTTGAACCATACTACGGCAGCACAACAACTGATAGCTTCTGCTGTCCCGAGCTTCCCTTCACATGCAGGATTGTGCTCCACCTGCTGGAGGAAGTGGAGCAAGTTACACCGGGCAGTGGCTATCATCTGTATACGGACAGATTTTATACGTCCCCAATGCTTGCGGAAGAGTTACTTTCGCACAATATTTTGCTAACTGGGACTGTGATGACAAATCGAAAACAAATGCCACAGCAGCTCAAGAAAAGATGAAAAAAGGTGAAGTGACGGCTTATCGCAGAGAAAACTCGTACATGGCACTTGCCTGGCGGGATAAACGTGAAGTGACAATGCTAAGCTCAGCCCACAATGCGTCTACAAAAGAAGTGCCAAGGAAGATAGCTGGAGGAAAAACACTGACACTGAAGAAGCCTGTGGTGATATGCGACTACACTGAAAACATGGGTGCAGTGGACAGGGCCGATCATTACTGTGCAAGTTATGCATTTTCCCGGAAGTCAATGAAATGGTGGAGGAAGCTTTTTTTTGGCTTCTGGAAGTTTCGATAGTGAACAGCTTCATTTTGATGAGACTGCAGCTCCTGAAGCAGGGAGAGAAAGAGCAGCGACACCTCCAGTACCGGAGGAACCTGATAGAGCAGCTGGTTGCTGACGTAAGGGCTCGCGCTGGGAAGCGCGGCCCATCTGCGAGATTGGATTGCGAACAAAGGCTGGATGGAAAGCCCCATTTCATCTACAAGCTCCCTGGCCAAAGCAGCAAGGACTGCGCTGTTTGCAGTGACCGGAAAACAAAAGGGGGCTGGAGGGAAACAGTGTTCTTCTGCAAAACCTGCAGAAATAATCCCGGACTGCACCCAGGAGAGTGCTTTGAACGCTTCCACACACTGCCCAAGTATCGCTACATACCTTTGAGACAAAGAGGAACTGACGAAATAAACAACCGCCAAGTTAATTTCCCACAGTTGTCGTTTTCTTTCGTGGTGCCTCAAACTAGTGAAATAGTTTCGGACCGGAACGACCGGAAAGTGGGTAAACGTTTGGGACCGCAAAGGGTTAACTGACCAAGAGAACGCTGTACCTTCGCCGGCCGATCCAGGCAGCAGAGTGCCCTGAGCGCGGCTTTCCTCAACAAGGGCTACATACATGCCCGAACAACGTCGTTGGCTCCACGGTAGCCATGTAGATAGAAAAGTTGACGAATTCGCTGATGACCAGCATGCTCCGTGGTTAACAGCTATCAGCAAGCGCTTACGGTCGTCGCCGCGGAGCATAGTCGTGGTGCCCCATATCGCTGAAAACCAAGCCTACCCGGTCTTTCGGGCAATACAGGCGTCCTCCACAGCAGTGGTTGTTGATAGCATTGCTTGAGTCGTGGGTTGCATAGAGGTGACAAACTCAGGCTGGAACATGGCCAACGATGTCTTGGGATCTTGCTGACACAATTTTGTCGAGGCCAAAGGAGGAACTTGCACGGCAGCAGTACCATGTTCAAGGTAGGAATGTGATATCTTTTAGGAAGATCGTGTAGATGGTGCCACTGGATCGAAGGCACCTGGATTGGTGCTGGTGTGCCGTATCGAACCCAATGTGCAAGTACGCGTGAATTGCCATCTGCGGGCCCAGCAGCATTCGAAACAGACCAAAGTGTCCGGAGCAGAAAGAGTAGAGCATTTCATTACCGACCTCACCTTCATCAGCCTCGTAAGTTGGTTGGTTGGTTGGTTGGTTGGTTGTTCCTCAAAATCCTGGATTGTGGTTATGGTGTATCCTATAACATAGCTCGGACTCACTTCGGGTTCAGATGTCGTCTTCGTCATTAGCGTTACTTTGCAAGAACGTGTCATTATGATGTTCTCGGGTACATATTATTGTCAAAACTTGTACAACGTGCCACAATTTTGGTACGTTTTCAACTTTTTTTAACAAGAATCATTGTACAAACATAACTGCAAACAATTCGCCTTTAAGGACCACATTTCAACTTGCCGCGGTACTTCCTTAGCACCTTGCGGCGACAAGAGTCTCAAATGTCTTGTGATGAAAAATAATTGGGAAACGCTCTACCAAGGCAGACGTATACATGTGAATTGCCCGAAGCCTGTTGCTCTGTCGAATTCTGCGTCAAACGCGTGGCATGAATCATCTGCTAAGTGATGTGTGGATTATGTGCCGGGCTAAAAAGAGGAAAGTGGAGTTCGTAGAGTGGAAGAGCGACATCTGTCGGTAGCTTGAACAAAGCTTGGTCCTCAGCGGCCTCACCATTCAAGCCTTCTGCAAATAAACTATGAACGCCTAAATGAGCGTAAAATTTCTTTCAGTTTGCACCAAACAATTCATTGCCCGAGACCTGCTATAGTGATTGAAATGTTTTAAAAACGTATGAGTGAAATTTTATCTAGAAAATCATGCACGTTTATCCACCCGCGCATTGGTGAATACCCCATAGCTCCTATGGGCCACATCTTCAAAACGCCACCACCACAACCCTTCCCCCCCCCCGCAGGTAACAATGACGGCGACGAAGATGACAACAATCAAATTGAAATACAGCCTTTACGATCAAAAAGCACAATTTTAGGCTTCAATTGCTTGATTTTTGCTTCATATTTTTGAAAAACTTGCAGAAATATTTCAGCAAGTTCGACACCATGAGTAATAAAGCCTAAACTGATGTACACTAGTATTTTTTATCGTTGGCATGCTATAGTACAAAATATCGAGGTATGTGGTAGTCGTACCCATGAAATATATTATTGTATGCACCAAAATTTTGCACATAGGATACTCGTATCAAAAAGATGAAAAAGAAAATACAAAAATTTCGGCAGATATGTCATGCTGTGACCACCAGATATTGTGAATAACATCACGGCGTCTCATAAATTGGTGCGCGTATGACGAAGATGACGTGCGTTCAAGAGGCAAATGATGCTGATGTCATTCAAGGATTGTGCGCCATACCTTTCTGCCCAACTCCTCACCGAAGCTCCTTCGTATGCGATTCCGGCCCCCTGTGCCCTAGAATTTGCGAGCAGTGACATCGCGACCAGAGAAGCAGCTTTTGGTCTAACTATGTCATTTCTATGATCTTACTGAAAGACATCGCCCTGCTGCCGGGAAAGCTCCACCGCTGTCTTGCAGGTTCCTTCAAGACTCTGGGCTAGTTCTTACAGTGAGAAACCGCAGCATCATTGGTCCCGTTCAAATTCGAGTCTTTCGTTGCTGCAACACCTGTGACAACAGGAATGACATCGGTAACCGCTATTGTGGAGATGACCGAGGACTGCATATCGGGAAGCCTTTCTTATCGATGACGAAGACACTGAGAAATTAGCTCCACGGCTTTAGCCCAGGCCGACGCCACCCAAAGAAAGGTCTCGTACTTTGATCCTGCGCTAGACTACGGCGCCGGTGATAAAAGGTGTCTTCGTCAGTAATTTCCAGATGTCTGGTTCGGAGAAACTCGAAGAAACGGTGAGTGTAATACCGGCGCAGCAGTCAGGGAAGCTAGGCTGCTGGACACGACGCATTGCAGTCTTTGTTTCGAAGAAGATTTGCCTCTCATACTGCGAGGCTCATGCGATATAGAAGCTGCCGACAGGCCTTAGTGGCTGGCCCCAGACATGTGAACTACGTTCCCTGTTTGGAGCAATGACGAGGAAGATCGCAGCGGTCTAGCTTGGTGCGTGTGTAATTTCATATACTTTATCGGTTTCGTGGATTCAGTATTTCTCTTAAGAAAAAACCTTTCTTGCTTTTGCTTTTGTGAATGTTAGAATTTCAACAGCGTGAAGGTTCTTCAAACTAGTCAGTTCCCCGTACTTGTCAATACTCTAAGCGCAAGCGCTTCCAGAAAAAAGACACCAACAGAGAGGAACGAGCGCTATGTTTGTAGCTTTTGTGCAAACTTGTAAACACGTCTTGTCTAAAATATTTTGTCCTAATATCAGTGAGTGCAAGTAGCGTCTGTAACTACGCAGTCCAGCAAAGTTACAGCTCGTTGACTCGTATACTTTGAGCACCGATTGAGCGACCAAGATAGTTAAAATGTGAATGATTGCTATTGGTCGCCAATAGCTGCATCGGGCATGACATGACTGGTTTGATTTAGTCGTGAGCAGCTCAATTTCTTAGTCCCATGACTGAAGTCATGTCCCTCTGGAGTTGTACACATGCTCTGGAATAGCACGCCGGATTATTTCACGGTGCGATATCAAGGACAGCTATACCCGATTATACCTGAAATTCTGCGTAGCGATGGGTATCTGTCGCACGTTGGTACTAATGTGAGTCGCCTTCAGTCCCTCCCCTTTTTTTTTGTCACCAGCCTTAGAAGGCCTCGCCAAAATGCTAGTCTCTCACATGCATGATTAAGCATTTAGACAGCGTATAGCTTCAGCGATTTAGAATACCACACGAGGAGGACTCCGGTTGAATAGCAGACATTTATCGCATTTTTGTTTTTTTGGTACTTAAGAGGTAGTGGAGGGGGTGCTACTATATAATAAAACTCATCTACTATTTCACAATATTGTAATTCATAAACGAACCAACACAAGGCAACTGAGAAAACCGTGACACATTTGTTTAAACAGTAGGTACTCACCATATGACGTGGCACGTTGCTAGCCCCAAGATAACAATATTTCTGGGGATTTAACGTCTGCAAAGCACGATATGTTTATTAGAGACGTCGTAGTATAGGGCTTCCGAAATTTTGACCACCTGGAGTTATTTAACATACACCTAAATCCAGCTACACGGGCCTTCAGCATTTTCGCCTCCAACAAAATTGTGGTTGTGGCGGTAGGGATTTGATACCGCGGCTTGTGGGTGAGCTGAAGTCGAGCAGCATTACCATTTCGGCCCAAGAAGTTCACGTTTTTACTTTAAATGGACTTAGTTTTCATTTGCCGTACAATTTAGTTAAAATTCTAGCCATGCATTACCATTAACTGAATGTCTGGTTGGTGCACATGGCAATGCTTTCCAGAGACCTTCTTCACACGTTAATAAAATCATTATTACTTTTTCACAGCATACTCGTGGGTGTGAACACTACTTTGGCACATATTTTGCCTATTTTGAATTTTCTTCATGTCGTTTACATTATATCGGGCTGAAAAAGGTTGACTCTTTGAGATAACAGTTCGAACTATTTCCAACATTTTCAAATGTTCTGGCAAATATTTTTATGCTCCAGCCACATAACATTTAGGGGTGCAACAAGAATGCTAATTCAGCAAAATTCTT